CACACACACACACACACACACACACACACACATTTCATTTATTTTTGTTGATTTTCACAATGCTGTTAGTATTTTTTATTTATTTCATTTTATGTGTATGCATGTATTGCCTGCATGTAGGTAAGCACACTTACCTACATGCCATCTCTCCAGCCCCTCACAATACTTTTAAAGGTCAAAGATGCCTTAAAGTACATTGACATGTAATAAGGAATTGATCTGTGTGCAAGCAGCTAAAACACTAGGTAGTTTGTGATAAAAACCATATGGATATCATAAATAGGTGCAATAGGTATAGAATAATTGTTCATCTTCACAGATTTTAAGTATTTCTAGGGTAAAGTCTCTAACCGTCTTTTTTTCTTTTCTTTGGAGATTTATTAAAAGGTCTACTGTTGGGGGGCTGGAGAGATGGCTCAGTGGTTAAGAACACTGACCGTTCTTGCAGAAGACCCGGGTTTGAATCCCAGCACCCACATAGCGGCTAACAACTGTCTGTAACTCCAGTTCCAGGGGATCTGACAGCCTCTTCTGTCCTCTGCATGCATTGCATACATGGGTGCACTTACATATATCCAGGCAATACACTCATACACAAAAAATAAAAATAATAAATAATAAATAAAAAGGTCTGCTGTTGGACCTACATTAGTTTACTTGAGAGTCAGTTGGTTGTTTTTTTTTGTTTGTTTGTTTGTTTCTCCCTGAAGCCCCAGCTAACTTGGAACTCACTATGTAGACCAGGCTGGCTTTGATCTCACAGAGATCTGCCTGCCTCTGTATCCCAAGTGCTGGGATTAAAGGAATGCATCACTGTGTCTTTACTTGAGTTTTTAATGAAATGTAATAGTAAAAGGGTATTGAATTTTATTTTCTAATCTTTGTTTTTGTACACTGCCTTTCTCTCTCCACTTTTCTTTCCCCAGAATGGTCCTAGTGCCAGATCATGTCATAAAATGTGCATTGACATTCAACGCAGGCAAATCTACACTTTGGGACGTTACTTGGATTCCTCTGTGAGGAACAGTAAATCTCTGAAAAGTGACTTCTATCGCTATGACATTGACACCAACACATGGATGTTACTAAGTGAAGATACTGCTGCTGATGGTGGACCGAAGTTGGTGTTTGATCATCAGGTTTGATACACAGTTAAAAATTTTTTTAGTGCTCAATAATTTTGGCTCATAGCGTCTAGTTTAGATGTTTATCTCTAACTGATGACAATATTGATAAGTATGGTGGGCTATAAAAATAATTATTTCAGAAAGCATAAGGTTTTCTTTAATGCTTTATTTTTGTGTGGTGTGGCATAAAATATTAAAGTCTATCATTGATAATTTATAAAAACTTTCGTATGGAGAGTAAATAGATGGAGCAATGTTAGGAAAATCATATTTAGGAGTTTTTGTAAATATACGTAAACCATAACAATTGCAATTTGCCCTGTTAATATTTTTTATTCTATTTTCTTGGAAAAAATTTAAAATCATTTGATGCTAAGTTTGAAATCTAGAATTTTCATTCCAGTTAGACTAAAATCTGCTTAATTTTACTTGTAATCAAAAACATTAACAAACTTAGGTAGGAATTTGACACATAATAGATTAAATTTAAACAGCACCAGGGTAAGTCATAGAATGGTGCTATAGGCAAGACAGGTGTACATAGTAGCATATGAGCACTTCATTTGCTATGGGTCTTCCTTTCTTTTTCACCCTGTCCTTATCACCTGCCATTAATTCCATCAATTCAGAGTAAGTCAGAGAAACAATAGCTATTCTGAAGTTTATAAGCAGCTTTACTTGGTAAGCTGTTTACAACAGTTTTTAAGAGTATGGGAGAAAGAAAGACTTAAAAAAATCTGTAATTCCAGTTCCAGGGCATCCAACCCTCTCTTCTGGCCTCTGCATGCATTGCATGCTCCATAGTGCACTTATATACATGCAAGCAAAACATGCACATGAAATAAAAATAAATAAATCTTTCTTTAAAAAATCTGTTATACTTAGCCAGGCTTGGTGGTGCATACCTTTAATCCCAGCACTCGGGAGGCAGAGGCAGGTGGATCTCTGTGAGTTCCAGCCAGCCTGGTCTACATAGTGAGTTCTAGGACATCTGGAGCTACAGGAGACCCTGTCTCAAAAAGACCAAAAAAAAAAAAAAAATCTGTTATACTGTATCGATGATATCTAGTACTTAGGAATCAGGAGATGATAGAATTATGATACTATCCAGGTTGAGACCTAAAAATCTTACATAGCAGATACCCCATACCTTTGTTGTTTCTCTCTAGATATTTGTGATTTGTTCTGAAATGATCTATTTCCATATTTATATTAATACCTAATTGCTATAAGAGAATGGTAGCAAAAAGAAGAATTATCCTTATCAAGGTTGTGGTAGATGAAAAGTCAAAAATGTTAGTATCTTTAGGTTGAGTTTGGAATTTCTACTGGCTCAGTCACTGTACCTGAGCTTTTCAAAGCCATGCTCATCCTTGCTGATAATTCTCAGTGTTAGTATAGAAAATAAGAACTCCAAGAAGTTAGGCTGATTCTGATCTTTTAAAAACAGGAAATTCACAGATGACATTGTTAGGGAATAATAATTTGTCCTTTTGATCCAAAATTGCTATATATTTATTTTACAAAAAAAACCCAAACCAATTTTTTTTATAAGAATTACTTTAATAGGGCTGGAGAAATAGCTCAGTGGTTAAGACCACTACCTGTTCTTGTAGAAGACCTGGGTTTCGTTCCTAGCATCCACATGGAAGCTAGCAACCATTTGTAACTCCAGTTCCAGGGGATCCGATGCCCTCTTCTGACCTCTCTGGGTCAAGTGTATAACTTGCCTGCTTATATACATGCAGGCAATATACTCATATATGTAAAATAATGAAATATAATAAAATATATTTATAAAAGAATCAATTTTATAGGTTGAAACAATAGTTTAGGGATAATCTGACTACAGCACAGAGAATTCTCATATATGACATTTACTTGTCTTGATTTTGATAAAATAAGATGGTCCTTGGAAGTTGGCGCCTGTTAAATAATGCAGGGTTTTCGACTGAATACATAGTCTAGAAGAACTATGGAGGGTGAAGAAACCATGGTTTTGTTCCTAGTTCAGCTAAAAAATTATGTTCTTTGCTACTAAACAAGTAGCATCTGTATAAGCCTCCAGTTTCTTTATTTCATTCAAATTAAGCTGTACATTAGAACTTACTAGCTTGTGTTCATGCTGCTCCAAAAATTATTTGTGATGTCACAATGCTTTAAGATTTAATAATACTTGTGTTCAAATTTTAGAAGAATATGGGAAAGGTAAAAACATGTTAAAAGTTATTTTGCCATTTTAACTTTTCTTTTTTGAGACAGGGTCTCCCTATAGCCCCAGGTGGCCTGAAACTCACTATGTAGACCAGGCTGGCCTGGATCTCATAGAGATCCACCTGCCTGTAACTTCTGAGTGCTTGGATTTAAGGTGTGTACCACCATGCCTGCCCAGCTTGCCATTTTGAATTTTAACATTAAAAATTTTAATTTAATGGGCCAGGTGTGGTGGCCACGCCTTTAATCCCAGCACTTGGGAGGCAGAGGCAGGCGGATCTTTGTGAGTTCGAGGCCAGCCTGGTCTACATAGTGAGTTCCAGGACAGCTGGGGCTACAAGGAGACCCTGTCTCAAAAAAGACCAAAAAAATTTTAAATAAAAAGACTTGGATTTCTGGTGAACATATGGCAGATACGGCAACTTAGTTCTCAAACTTTTCATGTTGTTCCTTTGCCTGTTTTTTAAGAACAGTGAGAATTCAAACAGATTTTTTAAAAAAAAAAACATATGTAAGCCTACAGACATGGCTCAGCAGTTAAGAGCACTGGCTGCTCTTGCACAGTACCTGGGTTCAGTTCCCCATGTGGCTAACAGCCATCCATAACTAGTTCCAGGGGATCTGACACCGTCGGCCTCCATGGGCTTTGCATGCACGTGGTACACTTACATACATGCAGGCAAAACACTCATACACATAAAATAAACTTTAAAAAATTTAAAACATATAAATCAATACTGAGCAAAACTAGGAGCCAAATAAAGCTCATACCTCTAGTTCAATTTAAGATTAATCAAAAACAATTGAAATACCTCGGTGCCTGTGCTGTAGCCCACACAGTGCAATGAAGAGAGCTGGAAATGCAGGGGCTCAGAGGGAAACCCTGTGGTAGAACATCAGATTCAGAAGTGTCAAGCATAAAGCAGCTACTTGAGAGGCAGTGAATTGACCTGTGCAAAGTCAGAAAGCCAAGAGGTAATACATTCAGTAAGCACTATTTTCTCTAAGGGAAATTGACAAGTGAAGACAGTGCTTCCTTTTGGAATAACCAATATGCTAAGGGAACTTAGAACTTCAGTAAGGGTCCTGTGAGATGACTCTTTAGTTAAGGGTGCTTGCCACCAAGCCTATGATCTGAGTTTGATCCCTAGGACTCACCCAGTAGAAGGAGAAAACAGACTGCCACAGGTTGATCTCTGACATCCATACATAAAACCATCGCATGCCCACACACAGGTACACAGCACACATATACACTCTAAATAAGTAAGTAAGTAAGTAAGTAAGTAAATAAATAAATAAATAAATACTATTTTGAAACAAAAAAAAAAAACACCTTGAGATAGGCCACCTTTAAACCAGAAAAATGTAGATAAGATAACCGAATAGTAAGAGCAGATGAAACCATCTGCTGTAACACAAGAAATTGAGGGCTGATGAGATGGCTCAGCAGGTAATACTAGTGTGTGCAAACTTGATGACCTGAGTTCAATCCATGGAACCCTAGTAAAGGTGGACTACAAAGTTTTCATCTGATCCCTACAGGCCCTACATACACACACACATCATGTACACATATACAGTAGTAATAATAAAAATTGAGGAACGTATTATCACTTTACTTCAGAAATAAGGATTAATCTATAAGCAAATAAGAATAGGTATCATATAATAAACTAAAAAATAAAAAAGAAGCAAAATGAGAGCCAGCCAGCCGACCCTAAGACATATATTCATAACACTGAATTTAAAAGATAACCACTTTTAGGGGCTGGAGAGATGGCTCAGAGGTTAAGAACACTGACTGTTCTTGCAGAAGACCTGGGTTCAAATCCCAGCACCCACATGACAGCTAACAGCTGTCCATAACTCCAGTTCCAGGGGATCCGACAGCCTCTTCTGTCCTCCAAGGGCATTGCATGACACGGGTGCACTTACCTACATGCAGGCAATACATACATACACATAAAATAAAAATAATAAATAAAAATTTTTTTTTGGTCGTTTTGAGACAAGGTCTCCCTGTAGCCCCAGCAGTCCTGGAACTCACTGTGTAGACCAGGCTGGCCTTGAACTTACAGAGATCTGCCTGCCTCTGCTTCCCAAGTGTTGGGATTAAAGGCGTGCGCAACCATGCCCGGCATAAAATATTTTTTTTTAAAAGATAACCACTTTTAGTCACTAGACAAAATTGTGAAGTCACTTAGAATGAAAATGAGCCTGATTGTTAGATTTCTGTCCATTATATTAGCTTACTGTAGCTCTAGTAAAATATCTGAAGTATTTAACTTATAAAGAAAAAAGACATTTCAGCTCATGGTTTTGGAGATTTTAGTTCAAGATCAGGTGACATCATTGCTTTGGGCTTCTATTAAGGGCAATATATAATGGCAGGATTATGTGGCAGAGCAGATTGCTTACATATGAACTAGCACACAGATATATTCACAACCCTAATGACCTAATAATGACTTTCCATAAAGCCTTGCCTCTGAAAGTTCATGCACCTTCCAGTAGAGTCACTACAGGGACCAAATTATGAACACATGCATGGACCTTTGGTCAAACCATAGCAAATGCAAGGAGACAAAAGAGCAATGTCTAGAAGGTGTTCAAGAAAAGACAATGTGGGCTGGAGAGATGGCTCAGCAGTTAAGAGCACTGGCTGCTCTTGTAGAGGATCCAGGTTCGATTCTGAGCACCCACATGGCAGATTACAACCAGCTATAACTCCAGTTCCAGGAGAATCCAGTGCCTTCTTCTGACCTCCACGGGCATTGCATGACATGGGTGCACTT